AGAGGGGAAATCGGATGCGGGATATAGACCACGAGCCACGGACTCTTCCAATGACTGGTGGGTGTTGCGTTTCGCCCTCACCTTGGGCTTTCACTCTCCTCTCTAACTCTCCACAATGAGAAAAAGAAGAAGACAAGGGAAATCAAAACAAATTTTCATAATCTTCATTAGCCTCATACAATGATACATGACCCCTATATATAGGTCATGAGGTACAAGAAAATAAAAGCATAAATAATGACTAAATCGCCCTCGGGGCCCCAACATGACTCACTCACACACAAGGGTAAAACAGGAATACCGAAAACTGAAAATGCATGAATAACTAAAAATATAAGCTCTGAATCGTGGCCATCGATCGGCGATGCTTCCGGCGATACACGTGTCTGAACCGTTGATCGATGACCTCATCAGGTTTACATCTAACCTTAACCAAATCCCTTTGAATAAAGAGGGGCGAGCTGAAACAAGCTATAAAGAAATAAATTTTGTAGTGAATTCTAGCGAGATTTCATATGATTCTATCATGATCATGCTTGACTAATGACCCTATTATTTATATGCTTGAATTAAGATCAATGTTATAAAATTGTCTAAATAGTACAATAACATTAAAAATGTATAGGTTGAACGTTATCTAGATACTTGTATAGTGGATGAGTGAGACTTGAGGGTGCTTTCTAGTTAGGTTTTGAATTAAGGGCAAGTACCCTTGGTCAACAGTCCTTTGAAAATAACACTTTTGTTGACTGGTGAGCACTCTGGCTATTTGGTGAGATCTTTTGGGCAAACAACCTTATTTTATGGGTAACTTCATGAGTCTCTCCGAAGAGAGAAAAAAATTAGCATTAAAGCCCAAGTTAGCTCTTGGGCAACTTGTCTAAGATGCAATTCTAGCCAACTCAAGGTTTGGGCGACTTTTGAGTTGTAAGTGGTTCAAGCCAATTCTCCTATTCAATTAATGACTTCTTGAACCTAGTTCAAATTATTATGACTTGATTAACGTAATTTAGATGAATATGGGTGTACATCAATTCCTTAATTCTATTGTTCTTTTCGAGAAGTTGTGAAGGACTTGAGAAACTATTGATAATCCCAATTTGGCTTTAGATTCCTTGATTTATGTATAAGGATTAATCTAGAGTGTTGGTTCGACAAGGTGCGACTAGAAATTTGAGGTTCATGTTTCATTTATAGAACTTCGATTTTTGTACTTCATTTGTTGTAATGTCTTCATGAATGCAATTCTTTTGTAATAATAATATCTCAGATAATATTTTTTTGTGTGAATTCCCCAATAATTTATTAATTGTTCAAATTCTTATTTGACCTTTAATTTGATTTTATATTTGAGGGTAATTCATCATCTTCAGGACGGATTGCGCCTTTCGACAAATCGAGGGTAACCATTTCTAAGACTTACCATTGGAGCGGACTTTTCTCTCACAATGTGGTGCTTGTCATAAAGAAGCAGATTGAGTTGTAGAGATCAATTTTTAGTCATTGCTGTAGCATTTTAGGATTCAGCACATCCTTGTTATGTGATTTTATTATTTTAATGAATATGGATAGTGTATAAATAGATAAGTCACTCTTTTGAGTCATTGATATAAGAGATTTGCGACTTGCAAATCTGAGTGATTTGTAGCTTATTGCCACGAGTCACTTAAAGATTAGAAACTTGTTGAAATATACATTAACAAATAGGTAACTAGGCAACTCACCTTAGTCTGTTGTTTGGGAGCTTTGACTATCAACTAAGATGTTTTGGATTCGAGTCTTGCGTATGTGATGTGTGTGTGAGTTTATCTTAATTGGCCTAAATACTCCAAAAAAAAAAAGAAAAAAAGAAAACAAATAGGTAACTTGCAATCTTTAATATGATTCTGCTGGAATTTGTCAAATTTGTGTTTATCCTTAGTTGAAACTCATGATTTAAGTTAAAATGTTAGGTCAACTTTGTCAAGTATAGAATAGTCATCTTGCTAGAGGCTGTAACTCGCTTATAGGGAGTAGTCTTACATTTTACTAAATTTCTTTTAGTTGTGACAGCTCAAGTCACCTATCAAGGTTAGTCCATCTTTTGTTTAACTAGTTGATCATGCATTCATGAAAAATATTTTTCTGATTATGATCCAAGTCATCAACATCTCAATTTTCCTAACTTCAAGTAGAAATTAGGTGTTGACTACATGATCAAGTTTGTTGTTAGTTTCCTTAAGTATATCTAAGTAACGAGAATTTTGAGATGATTCTTTTGAATATCAAAATTTAACTTCATGAGAAACCTCATGTTGGCTTAGATATTTCAACATGGAATTATGGTACTGCGATCCCCTTTAAGATATCAGGTTGAGGCAACCAAGTTGGTTAGAGAATGAGTATCAGCATCAATTCTAAAAATTAGCAGCTCCCCATTAAATAAATATAAAAGATCTTGCTGTTTAGTACTATTTCCTCCGTGTTAAGTAGGATTTCTAAAGTGGCATTTTTATACAGAATAGTTTACCAGTTTAGGTTTAAACTTAACTGAAGACAACTATCTTATCTAAAATGTTAGAAAAAAACCTTAAAAACTCCTACCTTGTGATGTGAAATAAAATCTTAACTTCAATCACTGTCAAATAAAATAACAAGCTAAGTAAAATCATAATGAAATGATATGTAATGCTAGAAGATTAAAAAAACTAGCTTTATTACTAGATTGGGTTAACATCTAAATTGCATAAGGCTTACATGTTCTGCCATCACCATTATCATCATCAATTCTTTGTGGTTGGCTGTATAAATCCTCCTTTTAACGCTATTGAGTTATACATTAGTTGTTACTCTGTTCTACAATTCTAATATAACTTCTTGTTGTGTTACCTTCAACTTTCTCCTTCTTCTTTCAAATTCTTTTGCATGAATTATATCTCCTCATCAGGCTTATCACGCCAGTCGATCGCATAAGGTGGTTACAATTGTTGCTTCATATCGTTACTTCCCATCCATCGCTCTACCTCACCTGCCTTATCTTCCTCAATTTCCCCATTAAGTGAACCAAACTACTAGTTCACCTAACACCATCCTTTTTTTATCTGTTTTCAATGGTGACCTCGTGCTCGATACAACCATCAAATCAAGATGGGTATAATCGATAATTCTTAAAGGCCTTATCTTGTAATGGTCAAATAGTCTACCTTCAATGCTAACTTAGCATGACGATGATCACCAGATTGAATTCTCTACTAATTGACTTTTCTGATACTTAAGCACACCCTTTGCTTATGCATTTAGCAATTCTGCATTTTAGCTTTCCTAAGCGGCGGAGTTAGAAAGGCTTTTCCTTTGCTAGAATAATCCTTGACGCTGGCTAATGGCTAATGTCATCCCTCTTCAACTAGGTATTACAAGATTTTAGTTATGGTCAATGTTTTACCTAATGTTTAAAATTCTGATTGGAAAGCTTTCTCAAATGAAAGATGAACTTTTTTTGAAACTCAACAAAAGTAACTATAGAAAAGTAGAGAAGTAGAAAAATGTAAAAAAACTATTTTGAATTTTTATAGTGCATTTTTAAGATAAACTATGGAGATATATATATATATACTCCAAGACGGGCTAGTGGCTAGATTGAGCACATGGATTCTAGAATTATGAGAAGATTGATCCAATGGTTAGAACCCTGTGTTTAAGGAAAAATTATTATGTGCGGACACCGAACACTGTCCGGAGACCAATAAAAATGCATCATGTCACTCTTTTATTGTACTGCGGCTCGGTACCAATCGGTACCGCAGCATCCGTACGTTGAGCTGCGTCCGGCGTCCGCACAGAATAATTTTATGTGCTTAAGGATCCCTATCAAGATTGTTTTTCATGTAGGTTCCACCAAGTGTGGGCCATGAGTGGGGATTGGGTGGGAGCCGATGCATGTGTAGGGGTGTGGGCCCTGCAATCTTCAACAGTATCAATAATTGAACTTCATAGAATTATTTTTTTCCCATTGTAAATAAGCAAGACTTATCATTTCCTTGATCACATGCAATCCATTTCTCTCTCAAACTACACAAACATTTAGCATATTCAGATGTCAAACCATTTGAAAGGTATTAACTCTTCTGTTTCACATGAACATTATCTACCTAGTTATTTCTGATCTCAGGTAACAGAATGGGGAAATATAAGTTTATGCGATGCGGAGAAGCGGCTTCTGGCAAATGCGCTGCTTGACCTTTCCAACGAATGGTTTATTCTTCTTTCCGAGACATGCATACCTCTCTACAACTTCAGCATAATCTACACTTACCTGAAGGGATCAAACCACAGCTTTGTGGAGTCTTTTGACGACCCCAGCCCTCATGCAAGAGGGAGATACAATCCAGAAATGGCACCACTCATTGATATAAGCCAGTGGCGCAAAGGTTCTCAGTGGTTCGAAGTCGATCGTACCGTCGCAACTCATATGGTGCAAGACACAATGTACTACTTGGCATTCAAGGTATTCTGCAAGCCACCATGCTATGTGGACGAGCATTACTTCCCCACCTTGCTTCATATCAAAACGTCAAGTCTGATTGCAAATAGGACCATCACTCTTACAGATTGGTCAAGGGGTGGTTCTCACCCTGCCACATTTGGAGAGGCTGACATATCTGAAGAATTCTTCAAGAGAATTCTTGATGGTCAGGATTGTTTGTACAACGGTCAGAATTCTTCTATTTGTGTTCTCTTTGCTAGGAAATTTGCTCCTAGCGCACTGCAGCCTTTGCTGCACTTAGCTTCCACTGTACTTGGATTTACTTAATAAAGTTTGAATTCTAAATCAGTTTATTTATCATGAATACATGTATTTGTCTTCTGCATAGCATTGGTTACAGGTGCAGCTTGTGACTTGCTAAGGAAAACTGTTTTTATTTGCATTTGTTAATGCCAGTGCCAGTGGAGCTTCTGCTCTGCCTTTGTAGGTAATATCATTCATTGAGTTTATTTCAACGCATCATTTCTTGATTATGTTCGCATCTTTCTTACATTAGGATTGCAGCTTTTTGCTAAGAACAGTTTATTGGGTTGTGAGCAAAGTAATTCACTGGTGTTAAGTTTTACATAGTTTCTAAATATAAACTTAGGTTTTATTTGGGACAGTTTTCTTAGTATTTTCTACAACAATTTTCCAGCAATTTTTTTTTTTAAAGCAGCAACAAAATAATGAGAAAAAACCATCCCACATAAAGCCTTAGGTTTCGTTTGGGACGGTTTTCTTACTGCTTCTTAAAAAAGCTTTTTAGTACAACAGTAAGAAAGCCATCCCAAAGAAGTCTTAATCAATATTTTATTGTGTTGGTGCTGAAGCAAGCATTTCCAAATCACTCAGCCAGTCAGCCCTTTGTTAGGCTGCTTGGCATTGCTGGTAGTGTAGGTAGCCATCACGCTAGTCTCACACAGTGGAGGCCGTTGGTTGGGAAAAATTATTACGTGCGGTGTATGGATGCGTCCGGAGGTCAATCCGGATGCATCACGTCACTATATATATATATATATATATATGTAATTTCTTATTTTTATCCTTTTATTATAATATTTTATTTATTTTTTATTTATTAGTATTTAAACTATAATTATTTTCCTCCTTTCATAATGATGAGCTAGTTTGTTAGTAGTCCTAAAAAACTCGAACTAAAATTTGATTAATTAATAAAGTTCAAGATAGGGTGGCTTGAGCTGGACTAATCTTGTTTATACTCTTCAATTCAACAATTCGTTGTTTATGAATTTGAAAATTGAAATCTTTGTGATTGCTCAGAGCCTTGCTCTTGAGATTTTAGACACCCAAATGTTAACTCAAGCCCTCTTCTCTCTCGACGCTCGGAAACTATCGTTCCCTTGCACTCATGAAGAACCTTAGGCTAGGCTCTCCCATCACTTGTAGCCTCTATGTCTCTCTCAATTGTTTGTCACACCCTTGGCTCACCTAAAGTAAACTATTTTGCCATCCATAACCATCCTGACATTGTTGACTACCACACCGACACCATTGACATTGTTACCACCGTTAATACTAGCCAAAATTGTTGATCTCATTATGTTTGGATCTATTTAATAAGTGTGTGTGTGTGTTTTAATTACTAAAAGATTTCAATCCTATTGAGGGTGGAAGTAAAATACACAAAAAAGAAAAAATAGAAATGCAGTAAAAAGTAAAGAACACCATGATTTAACATAAAAATTTTTGAAACTGGGAAAAAATCACATAGCCACACTACAACAAAAAAATTCATTATGAAAATATGAGTGAATTGGTACAGATCTCTCTTCTCTCTCACTCTCTCCATGCTTCTCTTCCCTTTTACATTGTTTTTACACAAGAAAAAATAAAGAGATATAATAAATCCCACAAATAGACACCACCTTAAGAAAAACAAGAAAGAAAAACTATCCAGCCAGTCTCGCAGTAGTGCTATGCTAGTTTTGAGTGTCGTGGTGCTTAATGCTCAGTCTTTAGTTTGCATGAAAGTGCTACATCACCAGATCTTCAGCGTTGCAACTCTCATGAAAGTTAAGAATCTAAAGTTTTGTCTAACCCATTATCCTTTTCAGGTTAATCTATGTTCTTATAAGGGTCTCGTAAATATCTTCCACTCCTAAACTAAATATTGCATTGCTCTTCTAATTTTTTTATTATTGATCAACCTCCACTATCTAGTCTTCAATTTCTAAGAGCTGTAGATTGATCTTGTAGTTTAATCTCCAATTGTATTACTACCTCTTCCAATTGTATCTTCCACTCCCCAATTGATAATTCTGATCAAATCTTGATTGGTAACATTGTGGTACTTCAATATATGGCGTTACGGTGCTCATGCATTTAGGATCAGTTACATGATTAGAGAAATTCTTATTCCTATATGGTCCAGCTCTAACTCTCATAGTATCTATTTTTTTTTTGAAATTGCAGCTACATGTGTAGTAAAAATTGATAAAGCATCTAATTCGTAGACTCAAGCTACTCTCTTAGGATTTACCCTATCAATAGGCCACTTAAAATTATTTATAGTCATTTTCTCTATTAGTTCATATGCTTTTTCAAATGACATGGATATTAAAGATTCTCCAACTACATCATTTATGATTAATCTAAGGGGTCCTACCAATCCATTATAAAAAATCTGAATAATAAACCAATTGAGTAAAGTGTGGTGAGGGCATTTTCTTAAATCTTTCACAACTTTCATAAATTCAAATTGGGTAAAAGATGTTGTATGAATTCTAAGTTTGACAGCTTTTGAAAGTGGGAAGTACTTAGCTAGAAATTTGCATGTCAACTATGTGAAATCCCATAAGTAAAATAAGTTATACTCTTAAATATCGAGATACATTTTGGTGTAATTGTTAGAATTTTATTAAAGAAACTCCATGGTTAGGCTACTCATCTTAGAGAAATCTTGGGATGAGTGATCTTCTAGGAAGTTACACCAATAGAAAAAAATCATGAGGCCCTTAAGCTAAAGTGGTCAGTATCTCAATAATTAAGAGTTTATGCTATTACAATTGGCATCATAGCAATATATAAGCCAAAAGATGAGAATTAAGTGTCATACAAGATAAAGTGCTACGCCATGGGAGCCACCTCTTGAACCCTGCATGGAATAAAGTGCTATATGACGGGAATCACCACTTGAACTTATAGGGGCCACCACTATAATCCTATCTGCCCGATGGATAATTATGGGATAAATATGCTAACAAAAATGTCAGTTACTTAAGTAAGGAGATTGTGAAACCCCATAATAAAAGAAGCTAAACTCTTAAACATTGAGGTGTTTTTTAGTGTAATGGTTAAAATTTCATTCAAGAAACTCCGTAGTTAAGCATGTCATCCCGTACAAATCCTAGGATGGATGATCTCCTGGGAAGTTATACCAACATGATAAAGTTTGAGGCTCTTAAGCAAAAGTGGATAATATCTCGTTAGCTAAGAGATTAAGCTGTTACGAACTCTTTCCAAGTAGTTTTAGAGCCCGGTGACAAATAGTTCAACCAAATTTTAAAGAAAATATGGGCAATCTAAATAAAATGTCATTTTTATTAACACAATTATACTTAAATGTTGAATATATTTCTAAGAAATTATATAAGTGTAAGTTTGGATCTTCAATATGAGTTTCCTACAACTGGAAACTTTGAACCATTTAAATTATGATAGGTTTCAATTGAAAGTTATTGGCGTGGATAATAGGTCTATTGACATAGTAATAGATTCCTTCTATTATAGAGTTATTATACTCTTTAAAAGGTATAGAATTGTCCTGATCTTTCACTAGGTCAGAAACTTCTATAACTTTTTTATTTTTTTAAATTTTTGTAATGGACCTTTTTATCTCAGAGTCAAATAACAGGGCTCTTTGTTGGATCTACGAAGCATACAATAAAGATAAAGCAACTAAAATAAAAATCACAAGCTAAATAATCAATAAAACTATTTTACGCTTTTTCAAAAGTTTATCAAAGAAAATAAAGACACAAGTATTGTTCAACAATATAGTTAAACTTGTAATACGCACGTTATTTCCCCAATAATTGCACCAAAAATCTGATGGGCGAATAGTAATATGAGCTAGTATGCAAATTGCTGAGTTTAAAATATGCTTAGATTTTTTTATATAATTTAATATAAAACACTACAATACACAAGTATACTTATTGAATCAAATAATAAAGTAATACAATAGAGTGTCGAACCCATGATAAAGTGCTCTACTTAATTATAACTTAAAATACTATTTCTTACTTCAAATGTACAACTTATCTTACTAAAATAAAAATGAGAATTTTGAATTTTTATCAATGAAAGAAAAATTTGCCGAAAAAGTTTATACTTATAAAAATAAAGTGTTTTGGATTAATGAATATAAATAATATAGTTTTTCTGATGAGACTCCAAATTGTAGACGTGGATCAGAGCATATGCATCCCTAGATCTCAATCGAGCTTGTATGGGTGAAAAGAAAAGCTTATGACATTCATATAATTTTTCTATCTCTATAGAACATATAATATTCAAATATCCTATGTCTAGGCATGTTGATATTCTATTTAAATACTCCTAATTATTCCAATATTCCTTCGCCGAGGCTATACATCACATTAGATTTTAATTACACATATGACCATTCTATGTATTAAATTAATAATGGAAGATATTAAAAATATCAATACATCCATTAAAGCACAAGAGTCTCTTAGTACATGCTATCCTTTCTATATCATTAGCCCAAAACTAGATAATTAACAAGACATGGAAGAAATAATGAGAAAACTCATCTTCATTTCATTCATTGGAAGAAAAGATACAAGAGAAGTAATAAGAAATTTTTTTTACCCAAAAAGATTAAATGATCTTCTCCATACTTTTTCTTCCACAAAATATAAAGTTGCTTATACAAACAGGCTAAAATTTAGACAAGGAAAAGTATGTTGCACTTTCCTAGCCTCCCTTAGACTTTACTCTAAGGTGACACTAAAAAAACACACTTAAAATTATAGAATTTTGCTCAAATGATAGAACTCCCTAAACAACATAAATTAATTTTTTTTTTTACATTAAGTACAAGGATGGGTTCAGGCACTGCGACACTTGACAAGGTGGCACCACGGTTGTGAAAAATGAACTAACACCTCGGCGCTGTAATATTGTCTATGTTGTAGTGGTGGCCAACCTGCCACAAATAATGATTGAAATGGTGTGTCTTTTGGCTACGGCGCTCTAGAAGTTTGAGCACTACGATGCTAAAATTAATTTTCAGTGCTTAGGCATTGTAAGGATCAGTGCTTTGATGCTCATTTTGCTGAGACTTCTAACAATGCAGTGTTAAATTTGGGAGCAGCGATGTAGTGTTACATCACAATGCTAATCGTGGTGATGTTACCATGCTTGAAAACAGAGAATTCGATACTGCAATGTCTGAAATAAGCACCCTGACGTCAATGATTTTGGTGCTGTGGTGTGATATAAGTTTGCATTACAAAGCTATTCAGTACTTAATTATTCCCATTTTTTAACAATTTCTGCACAAACACAATTAAAACAATACATTTTCAATGAATCTAAATACAATAAATAATGTATAATTTATACTTAAGAAAAGTTAATCCATATCAACTATTAATTAACTTAGAGGACTAATGATGCACTAGTATCTAGTGAACTTTAAAGTAGATAATTGATTTTAGTAATTTCATTTGGTGTAAGAGGATGTATTAGAATACGATAGAAGCAATTTGGGACTTAAAAAAACTTTAGGATGGTTCAATTTCATTGGTGGATGAGATTCATATTGATCACAATTTTAGTTACAACAAAATAAACACACCATTTTAGTTCTAGCTTAGGTAATTAACTAGAATAACTTATATTTGAGCCAAGCTTAACCTAGCCATATCTAGTTCTAGCTCTACCAAATATTAGATATACCTCAAGACTAAACATAGTTACAAGTTGATATACCTTATATTCCAATTTTTAGATTTCCCAAGTTAGGTGGTTTATATTCAATTTGGATCAGATTGAACCTTCGTCCAAATGGGCACTTGACCTAGATTGTCTCAATTGGTTTAGAGAGCCAATTAATGCACCAAGTTTTGCCTAGATTAATCCTTAGACTAATGGCCAATGCATGACCTTACACAATTTATTGAGCTTAAACACTCTTTAGGCGATCTAAAGACTTTCCTTGAAATTTTTGTGTGGCATCAATTTCACTTAGTAACCCATCATCTAGCTACTATTTTCCCCCTTCAATAGCTTTGACTTTGCTTATCATCTAAACAAGTTTGCCACTTAGTACACTTATACTCACCAACACACCATCGACCAATTTTTACTCATAGACTCTCCATTTGCCAACTTCTAATTCCTAACTCACCCTTAATCGACTTTTAGTTTCCAACTCACCATAAGTTAACTTCTTTTCATTTAGTCATCCTTAGTTGATTTCTAGTTTATAACTCATCTTATTGATGTCCTCCTAATATCCTTTCGAACATCTCCTCATCACCATGTTAACATCCTCTTAGTGCTCTCCCCAACCTGTCATCAACTTTTTCTTTCAATTGGGTGACATGATCACCTACTTATTGTGTGCCTTATTGAACTTCAAGATCATCCAAGCCAAATCTACTTTTTAATGTTTTTGGACTCTACATGACTTTCCATTCACTAATATCATGCTTAAGTTGCACTTCAATGATTTTCCAGTCTTCTATCTTTCCTTTTTTATCAAAGAGGACTTATGATCAAGAAGACAAGGTTAATAACCTTTGCCTAATTTGCAACATGATAGTTGAGCCCAATAAATCTTAGCCTCTGCCTTACTACCCTCATGCTTCCTTTATGGCATAATGTTAAAGACCAACAAATTTCTTACTCTATAAAATCTCTTTCACACTTTACTACAACCCATGAATATAAATAACATGTCAAAGGGTGAGCCTAATATAGAAATCACTTATACTCTTAAACTTTATGCAATTTAATAAAATCTTAATGCTTTTCACTCTTTATATATATATATATATATTCTTTTATTGCTTGGCCATTCATGGTAGTAATGTTTTCGTGCACTCACATATAAATTTAGATGCAATCAGTAGAATTAGGTATGATAGAATTCATCTTTAGTAATCATCATATTAAAAGAAGGTTGTGTTCCACAAATAAGATTGTTGCATCCTGGAATATTTGCAGCGGTAGAGAAATATATAGTTTAACATCTTAGCATTGTACGAAGATCTAGCACACAATTAGATACATGAGAGGGGGTGTAGAGTTCATAAGAGACCAGATTTTTTATGTGGAAACCCGTAAAAAGGGGAAAAAACCACGGGGCCTAGCCCAGTTTGAATGAATCCACTAGTATTTGCAATCGATTACAAATGAGGCCCTTTCTTAGGAGAAGGCCTTGGCTTGATGTCACAAATGCACATCATATAAAGCACACTACATGGTGGGAGTTATAATAATCAACATAGACATATTTGTTTTGTTGGAAGGGCCATATTCGGCACGAGACATGGGTCCGAAAGATGGTAGTTGGCAGGAAATCGGGGTCTGAGAAACTGTTGTCTGGTGATGGAGTTCGGAATGACCATAGTAGGCGACGGATGTCGGAAGGACCATAGTCGATAGAAGACCAGGGACTGAAAGACTATTATCTGGTGATGGAGGTCGGAATGACTATAGTAGGCGACGGAGGTTGGAAGGACCCTAGTCGACGGGAGACCGGGGTCTAAAAGACCATAGTTGGCAGGAGATCGGGATCTGAAAGACCGTTGTCTGGTGATGGAGATCAGAATGACCATAGTAGGTGATGGAGGTCGGAATGACCGTAGTCGGCAGGAGACCAGGGTCTGAAATATCGTAGTTGACAGAAGTCTGGGGTAAGAAAGATCGTTGTAGTAGGGCGGTACTCTGGTAAAATTCTGGGTATCAGGTGGTGGCCTAATAGAAGTTCGGGCCTCAAGTGGTGATCCGGCAAAAGTCTGGGCCTCAAGTGGTGGTCTGGCAGAAGTCCGGGCCTCAGGTGGTGGTGCGGTGGAAATTCGGGCCTTAGGTGGTAGTCTAGCGGAAGTCCGGGACCTTAAGTGGTGGTCTGGCAGAGCAACGATGTCATGTGGTGGTTCGACAGAGCTTAGGGCCTCAAGTGGTGGTCTGACGGAGCAACGATGTTAGGCAGTGGTCCGGCGGAGCTCAGGGCTTCAAGTGGTGGTCCGACGGAGTAACAACGTGAGGCGGTGGTTCGGCGGAACAAAAATGTTAGGCGATGGTCCGGCTGAACAACGACGTTAGGTGGTGGTCCATCGGAGGAGAGGGCCTCTAGTGGTGGTTTGGCAGAGGTGAGGGCCTTAAGTGGTGGTTCGGTGGAGCAACGACATCAGGCGGTGGTCCGGCGGAGGTGATAGCCTCTAGTGGTGGTCCGATGGAGGTGAGGGCCTCAAGAGGTGATCTGGCGGAACAACAATGTTAGGCGGTGGTCCAGCAGAGGTGAGGGCCTCCAGTGGTGGTCTAGTTGAGGTGAGGGCCTCAAGTGGTGGTCCGGCGAAACAACGACGTTAGGCCATGGTCTGGCGGAGGTGAAGGCCTCAAGTGGTGGTCCGGTGAAAGTCTGGTGGTGGTCGAGGAGGAGCGTCTTCCTTCTCTTCCTTCTCTTCTTCATTCTTTTCTTCTTTCTTTCATCCTTTTTCAAGAGAAATGAGAGATCTATTTATAGATTTTATGGAGTGGCATGACCCGTAAATAGATGAGAGATCAAGGGCAAATGGGGAGTGGTTGGATGGACGACCGATGTTGTATACCTTGATCATGGACTGTTTGAGGGACATTTGAATTTCCTAGTGATGTTGGAATTCAACTATCTTAGGATCGTTGGATTCGTCTCGTTGAGCCGCTCGATTAGACTATAAGCACATTATATTTAGAAACTGTTTGGTAACCCAAATGGTGGTTCGAACCTTCTAACAACGGTTCGGGTCCTTGATTTGGCCTCATTTGGGCTCGGATTTAGTCGAATTTGGTGTCGTTGGGTTCGTATTTTTGAAACGTTTAGTTTGACTATAAGTTTGCTGAAATCGGAGTTCATATGGTCCCAATTTTAATTTTGGAAGTTCACACCTTGATTTTGCCTCGAGATTCGTGCCTGATCAAGATAATTTTTGGAGGACGTATCAGTTGCCCCCTATTCTGGACGTCGAAGCTCAAGAAGTCCGAAAATATGCGTCGTAGACCATGGGAATTTTTTTTGTGCGATTTGAAAACTTGAAATAATTCAAATTTGGGTGTAGAGGTCCCAAAAGGTTCCGGAAGTGCAAAAATTGAGTCCGGAACGTAAAAAAAATGGCTCCGGGGATCATGGGCGGAATCATATAAGGCTTAGGGGGGGCAATTGCCCCCCCTCAAAAAAAATTTTTTTTTTTATAGGAGTAAATTTTTTTTTTTATATAGGAGAGTAAAAAAAAATTTTTGCCCCTCCTAAAAAATTACTTTTGCCCCCCCTAAAAAATTTGTCTATTATCAATGTATATATATTTCTAATATTATAATAGTAAAAAAAATTTCTCCGTCGACGATCAAACAGCGCCAAAAGTCCCGTTTCAGTAGCTGACACAAACTTCTTCCATCCGAGATTTTCCGTAAAACCAAACCCGAAAGGGAAATCTCTTCTGTATTGTCAATGGCGTTGGAAGCTCGCGAGTACAGCCTAAGCTGCGAACTCCGAGCACACGAAGACGACGTATGATGATCTTCGTCATCAATATTTTTATTTGCACTATCCTTACGTCGACTTTTCCCTCTTACAGTTACGATCGTGGAATCTTAAACCCTAAACTGAAATTTTTTACTTTTGGAACTTCTCACCAGGTTCGAGGAATTTGTATTTGCGATGGCTTCGGAATTGCCACTTCGTCGAGGGACAGGACGGTGAGGTACTGGACTCCGGACCCCGAGAAGAAGCACAGTTATGTGCTGTGTAAGACTCTCGTTGGGCATTCGAGCTTCGTTGGACGGCTTGCATGGATCCGTCCTTGTGAGCGATTTCCAGATGGTGGGATCGTGTCCGGTGGGATGGACGCACTTGTTTTGCTTTGGGATTTGAGGACGGGCGTGGCCGTGGAAACGATGAAGGGGCATGGGTTGCAGGTTACGGGGGTTGTAGTTGATGATAATGGGGATATCATTTCAACTTCCATTGACTGGTATGCTTTTGAGAACAAAGTTACTAAGAAGGGATGTATTTTAATTGCTCCTTTTGGACATATGATGCTCATCGAATATAACTCTTTCCAAACTATGAAGCACAGCTAACACTAAGCTTTAAAATGATGTTTACGAGGTTTCTATGGCAACTTATCAAAAATTGTACTTTTGGATTTGAAATAATGTGATATGGGATTTGAACCCCATACATTTGGATTCTTAATATACTACCGTGAGATTCGAATTGGATCATGAGAGACTTATACCCACCAGCCGTAGGATATGTCCTGGCTTGTGGTTGAAGTCCCTAGGTGAGGGTATCGCATCACCCGTCAGCCGCAGGATGTGTCCGGGCTCACGGTTTATCTTCTTTCCCTATCTCATTCTCTCTCTCTTTTCTCCCCTTATTCCAACTCTTTGCCACCACCTTCCCTTTCTCTCTACCGCCAGCTCCAATCCCCTCTCCACTACAACTTTTCGTTTCTCCTCCCCACATCCCCACCCCAACCGCCGGCTATCTCAACCTTGAACCCCACCGCCAGGCGCCAGCTAACCTTAACCTAGATCCTAGCCGCCGGCCTCCCCTAGCCTTGTTTCCAAAATTTGCTCTAGCCTGTACTCCTTTCCTAATATAGATTGGGTTAGATTTGGAAGGAATATTAATCCAAGTTTGAAATCAAATTCAAATTTGAAATTTTTCCTAATTTAGTATAAATTATATTTGGAAAGTTGTTAATTCCTCAATCAATCTCCTATTAGAATTAAATTAAAAAAATCGATTGTTAAATCACATCTTTAATTTAATTGGTTCTATTTAGGAAACCCCTTTGAATTATTTTCCCTCCCACTCTCTCCTTGAAACCGCCGGCCCCCTCTTCATGTACAAGTTTGAAATTTCAAATTCAAAATAGCCTCTTCATTACCTTCCTAAATTAATCTTTTGTTAGCTTAGAAAGTTTCTAATTTGAATCCAAACTAATTTGAATTTCCAATCCCTTTTCGTAATCAATAGATCTAATTTAGGAAGCCCTTCTAATCCCTCCAAATCTGAAATTAATTTCAAATTTAATTACCCCATCACATTTAATGCTATGGTCCACATATATCGAATGCGGACATCTTTCCTCCCTCCTCCTTTGGCTGCTCCCCTCCCGTCAATCCTAATGATTTACTTCCTAATTAAATGTCCCAATTAAGGAGATAATTAATTATTCTCTTCCCTCCCTTCTTTTCTTGTTTGAATTTCAAATTCAAATCCATTAATTAAGGGAAATCTGAGATGGAATATAAAATCTTTAATATTTATTACACCACCCCTCCGTTCTACATAAAAAAAAATGATTGAGAAATATGGAAAATGGGAAGAACCATTATGTAAAGCTTGTGCTTATATGAGGAGACAACATCTATCAAAACATTTCAAGTTTAACATTTTATCAAATATTATAAAATCAGAAGGAGAAGATAGGTTTATTCCTCTATCACATGCCTTAAGATCCCTATTTTTATAGAAAATAAAATACATAGTTTGCATTGCCAATGGAAAATTATGAGAGAAGATGAAGGCCCAAAGCAACTATAGACCAGAGTGACAAACTTGTTGAGAAGTTGTTGAAGTCGGATGCTACTAAAATAATGGAGTATAATGGAGTACCTGAAGAAATGAACATTTCATGATAAAATTGTAGCTGAATTATAATTTGCAAAAGAAAAGTCACAATACACATAGGCCATAGTGGAGCCTAAGCAACTAAGGAAGATAATAATGTCCAACTATAGTCTAGTTAAATAAGGCAAGCATAGTAATTAATGGAATCCCAAAATGAACAATTGCAGAAACATGAAGCTATTAACCAAATAAGCATTTTTTCTTAGGATACCAACTCTATAAATAAGATATAGTATAACAACCTCCAACTGTCTCAATCAATTGTTTAAAATCAAAATTCAAGTTTGAATTTTTATTAGCCAAATTCAAATTCAATACTCAATACTCAATATGATTATTATAACACAAAATTTTGCATTTTTGTTAAATTCAGACTAATACATTGTGTTAATCATGACATGAATTCTTTAATACATTATGTTAATGCTAGGACGTTCCTTGGAAGCGACGCGTTGTATGGCCTGAATACAACAAAAAGTAAGTGTTGCTGCACCGGTGCTCGGGTGCAGTGTTAAATAGGCAAGTGTTTCCACGTCATGAACGAATATAGGCAAAGAAGCTAGTGCATTAAACTAAAATTAGGATAAGAACTTGGAATATAGGTTCCCTTATAGACAAATTAATGGAATTAATAGAAATTATGATCCATTGGAAGATAAATATTCTATGCATTCAGGAAACTAAATGGATTGGAGAGAAGGCTAAGGAGATTGATAGTTTAGAATTTATGTATGATAATCTGGTTTGACATTCATGTGAAGTTCCATAATGTTTTGCAATGCGAACTTGGTTTGTTGCATTGCTGATCAAGTTGGAAGTGGACTTGGGGTATCGTGTTAACTGAATATTTATTTTTTCAAGTTTTGCTTGAATATGTTATGCTGCTGTAGATCTTGATCTTGAGTTTGGAATGCTTGTACTAGCAAGGTGACTTTGAATTTGTCAGTAAACAGAAATGATTGCTCATCACTAAACGGCGTGATCTTAAATTAACATGTTTAAATAGAAAGAAAGAAAAAAGATTTTTCAAGTAGTAGCAAGGTTATGAGAAAAAACAAGCTTAATGCATGAGCAAAGACATAATCAGCTTAAGGAGAACATAACTGAATCTTTAAATTACATCTACAAGCAAATTGCAAAAACGTTTATTCATATCCTTCAGTTAGCTGTGCGGGCTTCAACCTAAAGCCTGATTCACATATATGGACACAAATTTTTCTATGTACCTTTGTGAAAACAATCAATTAGTTTACAAGGAGCTTGTTCATGATATGTTTTTTTTTTTTCCGGCATTATTTTTCATTTTACGGGGACTTGTTATAGGAAGTATGGTGGATGGTTTAGGCTTGCAATTATGCATGACAAAGGAACCGAAGTGTCAAACATTTGTTCTACATCATGGAAATTGTTTTAAAGTTAGCTTTATATTGATTTGTTCTCATTAATGTGTTTTTTCTCGAGTAATTTGTGAATTGAAAAAAAAAAAAAAAATATATATATATATATTCTATCATATCTAGGGTTATCTCTAATTTAGGTATTTAAATGCAGTTCTAGCTATTGCTTATAAGCTCTAGAATGTATTGTTTTTTCATTCTATTTTGCAGCAGTAGTTCATAGTTTGATATATTTTAACATATTGAGAGGTAAAAAAGTTTTGCAAAATGCAAATCATATTTTACATTCCTATCTTATATTTTGCCATTAATGCAGGATGCATAGAATTTAGCACTTTTGGCATGAACTGGAATTATATTATATTAACACATGACAGCGAAAGTTTCAGGAAAATGATGAACTAAATTGGAATGACTACTTTATTTTGTCTTTACGTCACCTCTTATATTCTATAGGAAATTATTCATCTCATTCAAATCCCTAATAATTCTTTTACTTGACCATGTTTTGCTAGTTTCTTGACCAGCAGAACTGTAGGGGAATTTATGCTTAAATAAACCCTCTGGTTGTAAGATTTAAGTTTTTGGAAAAGCTTATACTTTCATGAAAAACATGAGATATTTAGTGTACGTTGAATTTCCTGTGTGAAGATGATTTGAAATGAGGAATGGAGAAATTGTCAGCTTTTTAGCCTATAAATTTTCATGTATTTTTATTTCCATGTGTGTGTCTGTATTTTGGAATAGGGGGTTCAAATTGCATATTCTTGCTTATTGAATTTTGGGACTTGATATTTACTGAAGATGAGCATGCGATCTTGGGATAATAGGGGTTGATGACATTAATGGTTGGTCACCATCGTGCAATCAGATTTGATTGTAATGAAAAAAGCGAGATATTTTTTAGATTTCATTTTTAAATGTGGATGTCTCACATTTTAGTCATGGAAATAATCTTGTCTGTGCATGGATAAGGTTATGCACAACAACGCCTCATATCTTGCATTAGCAGGAGCTTATTTATTCCCTTTTTAATGTAATTTACAGCCCTTGGTGATTCTAAAAAAAATTGAACTGCCTAATTTGTAATTTTGACAATAAACAGAAAACGCCTGTTGAACTTATGCATCTTTTTTCAAGCTTGTTGGGACTTGAAAGTTCTAAATGCTCCTGATACATTGTACTTTTGCCTTTATGCCTTTGGCTACAAAGTTTTCATTTCATCTGTGAATTAAGTTGATGGCTTCTATTGGCTTCATCTTTAAGCATCAGTTCATTTCTTTGTTGTAACCATGGTTTCTTTGTTGAATCGCTGTCAGCACGATTCGGCGGTGGAGGAAAGGTTGTGAAGTTGAACTCTGGGAATCTCATAAGGTGGCCATTCAAGCGATAGTAAGGCTATCCTCTGGTGATCTTGTCACTGGTAATTTTTTTTTTCTGCATATGCTGGATTCATGCCTCTTCTGCTCGTCTCTGAATTACTATAATTCAAATTTGTTCATTTTCTATTTCTATAGATAGGAATTTGGGACTATTTTTTCTCTTATGTTGGATGTATGGTTTTGACTTTACCAAAGTAGTTGTACACGAAGGGTTATATTTATTAAATGAATGGAAGGTTTTCACATATTTAAGTTCTTTTTTGTTTCCACTTATGTGGTAACAAGATGGATTAGATTCATGCATACATCTATTTTCATTGTATATTATCTACTCCCAGAAGATTTTGCTATTTGTTTGTTATTTTCGTTGATGCAAATCTGCATTCCTTGATTATTATGATGTTATCTTAGTGATGTTAGGATAAATTCCTAGAAAACAAACTGTCAAATTTCCTGGAGATATTGGCCACTATCTTTGGTGATCTGATTAATATTTGAGGATATCCAAGCATAGTGCTACTTGTACGAATTTATTTATAATGCTTGGTAAGGCTTTCCCACGACTTCGGCATTCAGCTATAGGTTGGATTTAAACTGCCTTTTTATTGCTGAGATAAGAAACATGTTAAATTTTCACACCATTTTGGTGCTATCCTTATTGCAGCGTACCTTTTTTAATGTGAATTTTATTTATTTATGTTTGAAGGTCAAGGAGCTATGTTGTGCTTTAAAATTCTAGCTTCTGTACTGTATACGGGCATTTCAACGAAATGTGCTATAAGTTCTGAATTTGGCACTTGTCGGCAACACAAGGGTTCCATTGGAGTAAACTTACTAAAATGACCCTATGCATGTTAACAAATGCCGAATTCTGACACTTCGCATTTATTGATGTCAAATGTAAACTAGAACTAGCCTTGATATGGATCACATTTGTTAACATGTATAAGACATGTTGTAGGTGAAGAGAGTAATATTTACGTAATTGGTTCATATTTAAATAACTGTAAAGATTGTGTATTATCAATTGACAATTTTTAATAATTGTCATTTTATTTTATTTATTTTGCAAAACATAGAAATGACTTAATTTTAGATAATGATGATCTATGAGAGTTGATGGAGGGGGGAGATGGAAAAACTCCACATGCACAAAATGTGATCCATGTACTCAACTTAAATTTAAAGAGGACCCACTTAGTTGGCATCACAATATAAATTTCATTCATCAATGTTTAGAGGTGTTTGGATATAACTTGATTATTTAGCTAGAATTTGGTACCTATATATATATAATTGGAAAAATATAACATGGAGGATATCTTCACGTAAGAGAAAATATTAGAGTAATAATATGATATTTAATAATTACTAATTTATACAACAACAATAACAACAACATCAATCCTTTATCCTACTACGTGGGGTTGATTACATGAATCATTTTTCTCCAAATTCTCATTTAAGTCTAATAAAAAAAAGATCATTTATAATATTTTCTAACAAAGTCTTTTTAGGTCTACCTCTTCATTTCTTAATAAAGGCCAAATCTAATACATCTACTCTCCTAGCCGGATCAGAAGGTTGATGTTTTATGTATCCAAACCATCTAAGGCGGCTATCTCTAATCTTATCTGCCATTGGAGCTACTCCAACCTTTTCACGTATATTCTTGTTTTGCATTGTCTTTAAGAGTGAAGCCAGTCATCCACCTGAGCATCCTCATCTCTATAACACTTAACTTAATTTTATGTTTGTCTTTTAATGGCCAACATTTTGTGCCATAAAACATTGCAGGTCTCACCTCCATCTTATAGAAATTTCCCTTAAGTTTGAGGGGAACTTTTTTGTCCCATGCCCGATGCATTCCTCCACTTCAACCATTCAACTTGAATTCCACTAAGAATATTCCCATCTTTTTCACCATCACTTTGAACAATAGACCAAGATATTTAAAAAGTTTATGTGCTCTTATTAATGACTTGGTCACCCAAAGTCAGAATCCCTATACTATATCTATTGCTACTAAAATTACACTCTATGTGTTCGGTTTTAGATCTACTCAAATTAAAACCTTTATCCTCATTTGTATCAATATTCTTTTTTTTTAATCATCTCCAATCTCAAAGATCACAAACCTTTTTAATGAAATATGCTTAGTTTATAATATCAATAGGGCTTTTTTGCCTGTTAAATAGAAAAAGCTCAATACCGTATTAATCATGAAATAGAGGCGTATGCCTCAATACATGTGCCTGAAGATGTGTCTCAAATAATTGAGGTGTACGTCTCCGACTTTGAGGTGTAAGCCTGTAGTCATTTTGCATGCGTCTCACTTGGAGGCGCGTTCAAAGCAAAGCCTCAAATTTCCAATTTTAAAGTATGTTTTGTATTCCGCTTGGACTTTGATATTAACTTGACATTTAGAAAGATGATCAAGCTTGATGGAAGGGGAAAAGAAATAAATCCGTGTACACAACTTGGTGCGAACTACATAAAGCTTGGATCTTATGAGTGCTCAACTTGGCACAAATAATCAGATTTTATTCATCATAAATCAATAACAACTCAATTACAAATCATGGATCCTTATTCTTAGAAATAGCTATATAAGGATAAAGCCAAATAATTGGATGTAAATATAACCTATCCCAATCAAACAAACATTTAAATTTAAATCTATTCTTTTCCAAAAGAAAAAATGGAAATATATAAAAATAGTTTAAAAAAGAGAGAATTTTGGCCAAAAGTAAAAAAAAAAGGGGCTTAAAGCAGCCTTGGTTCAAGTTTGTTATTTGACTTGTAATTGGCCTTTTGTGGATATATTTGACCTGTTTAAACTTTAGAAGCCTGGACTGCGTCAAAGACGATCTTTACATATAAGCCTTTTTTTGTAAACTTGAACACTTTTCTTATATGAAAAAATATATTGTTTAGATTGCAAAGATTATAAAGTTATTCCAAGTAAAAGTTTATGTACAAATATTGCTTATTAGTTTTGTACTTTAAGATGAAATGATAGAAAATAAAAAATAAAATAAAACTTTGTTCTAGGATTAGATGTGAGCATTTAAAGAATTTTAACAAAAATATTTTTGAGAGTAAAATTCTAGATCTCAAAATTTTGTCTGTGCATGAGGAAGCTAATGTTATGTGGGAAAAAAGAAATTGTGATAGTAAGAATGTTGCAAAAGATGTGCTTGGAGTTTCAAAGGAAAAAAATCATAATTTTAAAAATAGTTGGTGGTGGAATCAGAATATGCAAGAAAACATAAAAAATAAAAAGATTTGTTATGAAAATTAGTTTAGATGTAAAAATTCTGATAATTGAGAAAGATATAAAGAGGCTCGTAAGGAGTCTAAGAAAGTGTTAACGATGCAAATATCTTAGTTTTTAATGATTTATATAATAGAATACATACTAAGAAGGGCGAAAGATATATGTATAAGTTTGCCAAACAATGAGATAGAAGTAGTAAGAATTTTTTAAATTCAAGTAAAGTGCATTAAGGATGAAGATTAAAAAGTGCTTTTATTAGAAGTTGATATTCAACAAAGGTGGATGAGAGATTTTGCTAAATTTTTTAATGAAAATTGTGAGAATATGATTGACTTTAGTGACATTAGCATCCTAAATGAAAATAAAGATTTTTTTTTTATCGCATATTAGTAAAATCGAAGATAGAGAGGTTTTAAAGAAAATAAACTGTGAAAAAGCTATTGGACCTGATGATATTCCAATAGAGGTGTGGAAATGCTTAGGAGTTGAAGGAATTTTTTCTCTTACTAAACTTTTTAATACTATTTTGAAGACTAAAAAGATGCCAGAGGAGTGGAGAATGAGTGTTCATTCCTATTTTTAAAAATTAAGGTAATGTACAGATTGTGTGAATTATAGAGGAATTAGGTTAATGTGTCATACTTTAAAATTATGGGAGAGAGTTATGGAGCATAGGTTGCCATGTGTTATTAATGTTTCTCAAAATCAATTTGGATTCTTCCGAGGTAGGCTTACTATGGAGGCTAAACATTTATTGAGAGGTTTGATGGAGAAGTATGGATAAGGATGATCTACATATGAAATTTATTTTTTTAGAGAAAGCATATGATAAAGTTCCAAGAGAAGTTCTATGGAGAGTTCTAGAAAAGAAATGGATTAATAATGCTTATATTCAAGTCATTAAGGGTATGTATGTCAGAGCTGTTACTTGTATTCAAACATAAGGTGGTTTGACTAAGTATTTTCCTATTTCAATTGTATTACATCAAGGATTAACCATAAACCCATATCTTTTTTGCTTTAGTCACGGATGTTCTCACTAGACATTTGCAAGAGGTTGTACCCTGGTGTATGCTTTTTGCTAATGATATTCTTCTTGGTGATAAGACTAGAGAGGGAGTTGAAGGTAAACTTGAATTATGGAGGTCAACCTTAGAGTCTAAAGGTTTTCATTTGAGTCAATCTAAAACTAAATATATGGAGTATAATTTTAGTTGTAATAGATCTAGTGGTGGGATTGTGACTTTGAGCAATCAAGTCATTTATAAGAGTACATGTTTTAGATATCTTTGGTCTATTGTTCAGAGTGATGGTAAAATAGATGGGGATATTATTAGTTGAATTAAAGTTGGATGGTTGAAGTGGAGGAATGCATCGGGCTTGTTGTGTGATAGAAAAGTTTCCCTCAAACTTAAGGGAAAATTCCATAAGATGGTGGTGAGATCTGCAATGCTTTATGGTGCAGAATGTTTTCCATTACAAGTGAAGCATAATATTAAGTTAAGTGTTGCAGAGATGAGGATGCTCAGGTGGATGAGTGGCTTTACTCTTAGAGATAATATACGAAATGAACATATACGTGAAAAGGTTGGAGTAGCTCTAGTGGAAGATAAGATTAGAGAGTCGCCTTAGATCGTTTGGTCACATAAAATGGCCGTCTTCCGATGACCCGGTTAGGAAAGTAGATGTATTAGATTTGACTTATGTTAAGGAAGGCAGATGTAGACCTAAAAAGTCTTGGTTAGAAAATATTAGAAATGGTATTTCTTTATTAGATTTAAATTAAAAATTTGACTCTTAATAGGATACAATGGAGAAAAAAGATTCATGTAGCTGACCTCACGTAGTGGGATAAATGCTTGATGATGTTGTTGTTGTTGTAAACTTGAAATCTTTTTGAGTTAAGCTGTGAGATTTGATTTCTATGTTTCACAAGAAATGATAATGTTACATTGATTGTGTTTGGCCTAGAATATGTGACATTTAGTTTTTGTGGTTGCAATGTGAAAATCTTTATGATGTTTAAATGAGATTTTATTGCATGTGACATATATGTGAAGTAAAAAGGCTAGAGGGGAAAATTATTTTAAAAATCCTAATAATTTATGGGATTCAGTTCTTACTGTAAATTAAAATCCTAGAAATCTTATGTAGAGATGCACTCGAGATTTCCCCCATTCACTTTTAGATTGAAAGTTAAACTTGAAGATCTTAAAACTATCATATGTAACATATTATTATCATTCAGAAACTAGGACTTTGATGATATAATAGAGAGTGGGGAAAAAAGAGAATTCACATGTGAGGTGTCCATGTGCTTCGATCCATTTCTAATTGATGTGGGGTATATAATAGTGTAGATGCCATATTCTATTGCAGTCTTCTGTGTTTGAAGAATTTATGCACCTATTAGCTTTGACGCAGAATAGATGTGAATAAACAAAACAGCAAAGTCAAGCCAATTAATGAGTTCGCATATCATATCAATTTGAATGTTGAATGTCTTGACGCATACTACTTTGACTAATCCAGTTATATATCTTAAATATTTTCTTGAGTGACATGATATTTGGACTAAGAGTTGCTTCCGTTCCTTTTATTGTAGGTTCTAGTGATTCAACCATTAAGCTTTGGAAAGGACAAAACTGTCAACATACGTTTGTGGGCCACACAGGTTTGCTTTTATTTATTTATTTTCTGTTTTCTTGGGCTTTTATGTTATTTTTTAGAGATTACTGTTTTTATATCATTTCCCTGATTTAAAGGACTTAGCAAAGCTCTTTTGCTGCTATTCTATGACATGGGGTCATAATTTGTCTTACCAAAATGAATTAATTGATAGTGTAAATGCTAGTAATAATTTACATAAAGATTAATAAGAATTGTAAATGATAGTGGGATTTTGCGACCATAAAGCAAGTTCCTAGTGGCGGTATTCTTATTGTAAATAAGCTGTTATTTCTTGTCCTTGGAATAAATTCAGTTGAGAAAGGAAAGCCAAATGGAGGTTTCCTATTTTCCGCATTTCTTGCTCATACAACAACTTGATAAATCATTGACACTGGGAAGAGGTTCCTAGATGCTATGATCATCTCGTGGTGAAAAGCTGCATGTTGATGCCCTCTTAAAATTTATCTTTAGCTTTTAGGCTCTGCTTGGCATTGGTGTCTTCTGCTGCGGTAAAATGGATGACTGGATTATAAAATCATGTTAAGATGGTTTTTTAAAGCTCTATAAAAGTTATGGTTTTTTTGCTAAAAAAGTATTACAGCACTAATATGAATTGATTGAATGAATAAAAATGAATTTTAATAAAAGATCATAGCATTGCTAATATATAAATAAATATTATTGATTAATTTATTAATTTGATAATTGAAGTTCATAAGTAATTTTTTTTAGAGATTACTAAGCTTTTGTTCTGAAGATGTTACCTTTTAACTTTCATACCACTGAATTTTTTCTTACAATATTTTTTTTCCAAACACCCTTAAACTACTGCTGTTCTAGGAAATAGAGGCAAGCCAAACAGAGCCTTAGATGATTCTATAATGCAAATTGTTTCCTGTTAATTGTCATTTTATTTTCATGCTGCTCTTTGGATGCTTTGGGCCTTCTGTTTATTCATCATTGGCATGATGAGTTTTAGCCAATTACAACCACACTAAGTGCCTTCTTTTGAATATGAACCCCCCAAGTACTATTTGTGGTCTATAGAGTTCACTTCTGTCCTTTTGGAAGCTAGACATAAGTTGATAATAATGAAGAACTGAACCTTAAGCACATGAAACACTAAATGCAAATTGTTTAGAAGCTAGCTCTCAACAAATGGATACACATAAGAGCTTAAGGCACAAGTCTTTTGCTCTTTTCCACTTAGGAGCTGTTTGGTTGTCTGAAAAAGAAATGCAGCGTAAAAAAAAATGCAGTTTAAGGTGTGGGTTATTGAGTGGTGAAGTCCCATGGTGTGGGCAAAGAAGTACCCACCAGTCGTTGGAAGTGTCCGAGGCTCGTGGTCCGACTTCCCTTCCTCTTGATCCAACGCCGGCTTGGCCAAGCCCCTTTTCCCCAAGCCCACTGCCGGCCACATCCTCTTCTCTCTCTTAATGTTGAATTTTTTATAATTTTCCTAAATTGGATTAATGAATTAGGAAGCATAATTTTCTTCCCAATTCCCCTCTTTCCCTATGCATGACGCTGGCCCCCCTCTTGAATTTCCCCTTTTTTCTCCACATTAACACTACCTAAGTTTTGGATTTGAAATGCGAATTCAAATTCATATTTCCCTCCCATTAATTAATTCCAAAATCTAAAATTAATTTTAGATTTATTCTCTTTTATTCTCCCACCCAAACCCTAACCCTAACTTGGCCAAGAACCCCTCTCCCCCTTTGGCTGAACCCCCCTCCTCTTCTCTTGAGTTTGCTTCTTCTCATGATTAGCATCTGTAAGAGGGAAAGAGACTACGACCTCCTCCACCACTTCTAGCTAGTGCATGGCTGATCTCGAAGTTGATCATGGTTTCGTGTATGATGGTCAAGGACGAACAAATTTCCTTCTCTCTCCTTTCTTTGATGTGAACTTGGCGGTTGATGAGATAGTCGACGGATATATTGACCGCATTCTTTCCATGTTTGTACCATCCATCGAGGAACACCTTCCAACTGGGCATTGGCGAATCACCGGTCGTCGTCACATAGCTTCTCCTCCGGTGAACTTTCGTTGGATTATAAACATTGGCGTCTTCACCACTTTGGTGGCATCGTTTGGTTTGCTAAGACTCTCTTTCCGCTAGCCCCTACTAAAGAATGTGAGTGAGGGAAACTCAAATGTGACTTTTCTAATTGTTAAGTGTAGGATTTCTTGTTTACAGTATTTAGGCTTATCTTTATGACTTAAATTGTTTTCAAGTGAATGCTATTCTATGTTGTAACTAATTTCCCTTACTTTATCTATAATCTTAAATTCTAAGCATCCAATCTTGTGAAATATTTGTTTAAATAACATTGCTTAATCAATTTTTCTTTATAATTTCAAATGCAATTCGTAATGGTTTCACATCAGATTATGGAGGAAAAAGGATAGAGCAAAGCAACACAACTAGAAGGTGTACAAATGACTATGTATAAAATATAGTTTATATTTCATGTAGCAATTGCAATATGAATTAAGAATTAGGAATCATAAAGCCGATGCCAACTTGTTTGCACGAGGATATTGATCTTAACAATATGAATCGAGAATTAGGATTCATAAAGCTGTAACTAGTTTTGATAAGGATAATGATCATGATGATATTATTATTCTATATATTTTTTTCTTTAGTGAAGAATGATTGGCTAAATCATTACTTAATCAAAATACTTCCTGTGTATTCACCTTAGTTGCTATTTGAGATGCTTTTTACTACCAGTAGGAAGTCATGTTGATTAATATATTCTGTTGTTATATGGTTTTAGTTCTTTTATTTTATTTATTCTGATTTATGGATGTATACAAACAATACAAAACGTTTTCTCTTTTTTGTGTTATCTGTGTGTGCTTTAATGGGACATTGAATATTACGACAATATTTGACCTATACAGATACAGTGCGAGATTTAGCTATTATACCAGATTTGGGGATCCTTTCTGCTTCACATGATTCGTGAGTTTCTGAAAATATTCTGTTTTTTATTTGTAGAGGCTAACTATGTGCTTTACTTGAAACTACACATTTCTAGGCCCTCATAATTCTGCTTCTTTAAATGAATATTTTTTTTATAAGCTTCACAGTTTTTGTATTGCCATTATTGTTTGGCGAATTCTTGTATTGATTCGTTCATTCTACATTGCAACATTGATGCAATCAAAAAATATAGGGGAGCCTATATTTTTCGATCACAAAAAAAAAAACAAGATTCTTCCTATAAAATAGAAGACACAAAATATCTTACAAAGAAGATATAACTTAAATAAAGAAATAAAAGAAAATTACAAAAACTCTTGCAAGACGACTAGCAAACAACACGACAGACACCCTAAAGTTGTTTCACTTAGAGAAGAAGGATACAGGTGGAGTGGCACTTGCGGAGAGACGAAATAGATTAGAAGCCCGAGAAGAAAGGTTGGAAAGAGCCCGCAGGATTTCCGGAGGGGATGAGAAAGAAGGGTGGAAAGAGCCCGCAGGATTTCCAAGCAAACCCGCAGGTTTAAATTTTCTCCAAAAATCAAATTTCATTCAACTTTTTTCAAACATTACATAACCCCCCATATATATAGGTATGAAAGGGGAAGACCAAAAGACACCTTACATTAATTTAACACTTAATTCAAAGAATTAAACACATAGAAAACTCCCCCCCAAGCTCACGGTTAAACACCCAAACCAGGAACCAAGGAGACAGCCACGGGAGACCCCCCCTTTGTCTACATCAAACATGTTTAGGCATGTCACAGTGACATAAGCCATATATGAAAGACATTCAAATACAATCATGTTGTGCAGTATGCATGCATGCATACACGTGCATATTTGTTCCCATATAACCGGATAATTGCTATACGTAGATTATTTTGAAGAAGATAAGTTATTTATATAAATGCATTCATCCTTGTACAGTAGTATCCTTCGGTTGACCTAGAATATATGATTCTTATTGTTAGTTTTTCAGCACTACTAGCTGGTTCCGATTTTGTACATTTGAGAATCAACTGAGCTGCATCTTTTAACAATTATACTTTCAGTTAATATCATCTGATCTAATTCCATTGATATCAATAATTGTATCATAAACATGCATATGCTCTCTACTGAAGAAATACATCCTTGTATGCGTGCTTGTACAAGAGATGGGATTTTCTCTTAGGTTGAGAATGAATTTTTGACCCCTAATATACGCTCAATGACTAATACGAGCACGTTTAACGAGAATGATAGTCGGCTGACATGACATCACATGAGGCAGATTCAAGATGCTTGATGTTGCACGAAATCATTCAAAATGTCGTGCCCTTGCAAAACGAAAACACTGACGAATCTAGAATGTCAAAATCGTCAAGGACATTCCCTTCATGCGTGACTCAATTAAAAGATTGCAAAAATGGTCTGCCATTGCATTCAAAATGTCAAAGTTACCTAAGCAGGAACTATCGCGATTAACACGAGCAAAAGCGATCGAAAATGATGAATTGCAAGTGCGACGTTGCACAAACTTGACTGAACGACCTCTGTTTTTGAAATGTACTACACATCGTGTTCTAAACATCTAAATTATTATGAAAGGACACCTATATTGGCAAGATGATTGCAGAGAAAAATGACAATCTACCCCGTACGTGAAATGAGATAAAATTCTACACATGTGAGCGACAGAATTGCAATGATCTCTCTTTATCTCTCAATTTCCCTCCTTGTTCCCCTCATCTCTTATCGATTTATAGGATTAAAGCCTCTTTCGTCTCTTCTCGTGTTGACGAAATCGACACAATTCGTTCGACTTGAGTTGAACTGACTTTAGTCTGTTCGGTATATTATAATAGATCCTTGCCAACAATTCAAGAGAACTTCAATAAGATGTCTCCAATGGTGAAGCGAAAAATGCTTCTTCCTCAAATATCCTTTCAATTGTGGCCCAGTATAGATAAGTGAAACCCTTTTCATAGCAATATCACGAATAATGGTATGTATTCCTATATAGTTTTGCTGACTTGGATAACATTATCTTGACAAATTTGACAAGTTGCGAGTTATTTGAATGCTAGGCAAGTAATTCATCCATATTTGGTTCCCAATCTATGCTAGCATTATAGGGTCATTGAAGCAATCAAAGGTAGGCGCATCAACCATGATTTCTTGGTTAGGATCATGAACATTGTTTGCAATATAGTTATGGCCGACAGACTTTGAGAGGGGCTGGTCTATACTGGTCTTGTTTTTGTTGAGGATTTGTCTAATTAATAATATTATGATAAACATGATAGTAACAAGTCTGGATAGGTCTTCAGGCTTGGGCAAGATAAGATATCTTGTTTGAGTTGGTTTAATTTCTCAAATAACTTATTAAAAACACTAGGACTAATTGTATTATTAGGTGCGTGATTGCTTGTCATATGACACTTAATCCTTTGGTGGATGTAACAAACTTATCCCACATGATGATGAATTCTTGCTTTGGCTCATCCCATCTGATACTGGGCTAAAGCTCACAATTGTACCATGTGCGATTTCATGTCTCTCATCATTACTCCATCACAATGTTTAAAATTGCGTAATCAGGTATTGAGGCGTTTTTCTTTCGTGAGGCGAGGTGTAAGCGTCAAGGCTTTTTGAGGCGTAAGCCTTAAAATAAAAAAATTGCATAAAGATGCTATGATATTTTTTTATATACTAATGAGTAATATAATAATATAAAACATAAAAAAGCACAAGATATGAAACGTCAAGTAATAAGTTGTTTGAAATTAAAGTGAAATCCAAACATTACAATAATAAGACAACATAAAATATAGTTCAACTCAAAATTCTATCTTTCCCAAATCACAATATCCTTTTCATTAACACGTAATTAAAAAAAATAAATAAATAGCAATGACCTAACAACTCAAAAGTCATCAGCACTGTCGTCACTAAGGGAGTCTTCATTTGAATCATCGTTATGATGAATTGCTCTCTTCTCTTCCTCCTCTCCTAGGGCGTCTAATGTCTCCCAATCAACTCCTTCCTCAATATCAATTATCTTCATCTTCTCTAAATATTTTTGAACAATATCAAGATGAGTAATACATTAATAAAAGTAAAGTCTAAGAAAATTATGTTATTTATATACATTTTTTTGTTTGTTCTTGAGTTGTGGTGGATGTAGATGCTCTATGACCATTAAAGAAATTAATATTTAAATCTTTCTCTCGTACTTTAGATGACATCACTTCCACTTCATCTATAAACCACTCATCATCAAATGTCATATCCTCACGGAGTAAAAGATCTTCGTCATCCTTTAACCCTTTTTTTCAAATTCCTGTCTCTGAGTCTTCTATTATACATATTATACACTATTGAATTCATTCTCAATGTTGACAAACGATTTCCCCTCTTTGTATGCACTTTAATTGTAGGTACTCTAATTCCATTCACAGTCTGATAAAGAACATGTTAATCTCAAAACTTTCACAACAAAATGCTGTAATTCTGGAGTGCCATCACTAAACTGAATCTACCACTCAACTAAGATTTACATAAATGATTAAAGTCAGTGAATGATTAAAACAACAAATGAAATTACCTGGAGATCATGTGGAAATAGTACCATTTGCTTGTTGTAATCCAAAAAAATCTTATTTATTTTCTAAAAGGTACCAATTGCATATCAGCATTTGATCTTTCAGTTACATCATGTATCAGCCGATCTATGCATTGATACAATCCCAATTTTATTTCAGGATTTATAGACTTATTCTCTGTATTAATACTAAGGGTTTAAATAATAGTCTGCTGCATGCAAGTGTCGGTGAAGGTGTAACTCCCACCTATCATCAATAATATTCTCTATTTCTCTATAAATTCCCTCTTCACCTCCTAAGTTGTAGTCAATCATTTCTTTATCTTCATTTATAATATTGTAGATGAAACTCATAGCAGACTTCTTTAGTGCATCCACCATCCTTAAAACTTGTACTAAAGGTTTAGTGGTTGTGATGACGGACGAGAGATTTTGCTAAAATCTGTCATTTAAAACAATCTTTCTAACATTTTTTTCCCTCGGCTTTCAATGCCCATGCACAACTGTGTGGAGGTAAACATAGACTCCAAAGGCTATCTAGCATCTAACATACTCTGCAATGTCAAGTAGGCGGTGACAAATCTTATTGCTGCTGGTCTTAGAATTTCTTTATTCGAAAATTTTCTCATAAAAGCCAAAACCCAAGAATGGTTGTAAATAGACTTACTTTTTTTTTTATAAGCGCATTCTTGTGTTAGGATATGGTTGTTTGTTCGATCTTTGCAGGTCCTAGTTGTCCGAGCATAATAATGCAAAATATGGGAGAGGGATCGGGCAACTTTAAAATTTCTTTTTTTAGTAGTAAAATATATATATTTTAAAAAATTATAATTTTAACTATTAAAAATGTAATAATTCAAAAAAAAAAAAATGATTTTTTTAAAATGAAAATTTTGAATTTTAGTGGTGTTTTGTTGATGAAGAGATAGGGAAGAGAGAGAAGGTTGATTGGAGCTTTTTCATCTTTCAATTTTATTCAGAAATTTGCTCTATTTGTTGCATATAACTCAAATCTCATTTTAGTTTTCAATAAATTTGATTATTATATAAATTCTCTTATATTTAAAAGAATTGATTATTTCCTACTGCATTTTAATTGTGGCATTTGCATAAGCAAAAAAGGTTGGTTGTTATCACTATAAAATGGGTTGGCTATTAAAACATAATACCCTGCGCGGGAAAGTGGGCCGACGGGCTTTCCTTTAAAGATGGTTGTGGTGTTATCTTGATTGTAGCCTGTAACAGATGACCAATTATGCCGACGTGCAGAGAGTGACGAATTTTTTTTGATTTAATGAAATCACATGTAATGATAATTGATTAATTGAATATGATAATTGATTGTTGGATAAATGATAATTGATATGACTGATGACCAATTGGGTATTAGTTGCGGTAAAAGATGTTAAAAACACTTCATTAAAGTTGGATGTCCTGCCTTGCTAAATCATATATTGATGCATGCATATATTGATAGTATTGATGACATTGAAAGATACATTAATATCATTAACAATATTGGATGCATTGATAATGCATATGCATATGAATAAATAAGATATATTCCTTCAGTGATTTATGAATGATTTTTGCATCGTTGTTTTACCGATTATTGAATTTTATACAAATTATTGATTTATAGAATCTATGATATATTTTTAAAATGATAAATAAACAATTCTTTCAAATTTGATTCTGGGGACTTACAAAAAATGTGTTGTTGTCTGACAGATCTCTTGACTATGCATATCTGACATGTGTACCAACCATGTCGGCACATGTTCGTGTCTGACACATCTCTTGAATCATCATATCGTTGAAGAGAGGAGTTTTGGTGCAATCATCATACATGTAAAAAAAATTATTGTAGCTGTTGGGGTTGATGATAGATAATAACTAGGAAGAAGCATTAGGATCGAAGGATTAGGTTTGTAGATGAATCAGGGATGGCACAAAGTAGTTTACGTGAAAAGGATGTGCAAGAGACAATGCACGAGAAGTTGAGATGCATATGGGGATGTTGTAGTTGAGATGCTAGGGTTTTGAAAGCGGGATGCAAGGGGCAAGCGGGGCATATGTGGGTCATGTGGGTCATGGTGTAAGGGGCGGTTTTTGCTTGACAAAAAGCATAGTGTGAGCTAGTAATGGGTGTGGCTATTCTCTTAAGGAGCATGTGAGATCTAAAGCTGCGAGTTGCAAGAGTTAGGACTATTAGTGGTGATAAGTGTTAGATTAGGAGAGGATAAAGGTGCGAAATTTAAGGTCAAGCATTGGCCATTGGTTATTAGATTTGATGACACAGGCATGCAAACTATAGTTAAGTGAGAAGGTTGTGAAAAGAAATTGTAACAAAAATGGATTACAATATGGGCTTGCAATACTTACTCTAACCTTGCCTCATGTGTGTGATGGTTTTCTCAGATCAAGATGGGACTTCAATGCATGAAATAATTGGGTAGGATGGTGCTTGGAGAATCAATAATCAAAGAAACAGTCGAATCTCACTTAGATACTAAACTTGATGGAGGAAGAAGAGACTTTGCGTACATAACGTGGAGTGATTTTCATACACAACTTAAATCTAGAGGAAAAAAAAAAAAAAGGGTTACAAGGATAAGATCAAAATTTTAAATTAAAACGTAATCAAATGTAATCCTGACAAGATATTTAAATTCAAACCTATTATTATCCAAATAGGGTAAGTAAACATAAAACAATAAATTGTCAGAAAAATATGAAAATTTTGCTAAAAATAGATTTGTGACTAAAAGAATATGAAGATCAACCCAATTCGGCTTTGTTGTGCTTGATTTGATTCCTTGTAATTGGCCTTAGGAGCACTTGGGTTTTTTTCTACCTGTTGTATCTTGATTAGTGGCTATACTAGATCACTTTTTATATAGACATGCCATTTTTTTAATCATTTTTCATAGTAAAATGATGTTCCCCTTCACTTTTCACATTATGACTGTTGTGGAATTACAGCTCTGTGAGGCTCTGGGCTTTAACTGGCGAAGTTTTGATGGAGATGATGGGCCATTCATCTCTGGTGTACTGCGTGGATGCACATCCATCTGGGCTTGTTGCAAGTGGGAGTGAAGACTGCTCCCTCAAGATTTGGAAAGGTGGTTTCTGTACTGTATATGAATTATTAAGGTTACCCACTAGTAACTCGCTTATCCTCTAGGTGAATCATCATATCATTAGCCGTATGCCAATTATTTGGAATTTTCTTTATGAATCCTCCCCAATTTAAATTGGTTGCTTAAGCATGTTGGAAGAAACTAATTAATTTATCCTTTTCAAATTCTTCAAGGAAAATTTCTTTTCTTTTGGAAAGTACGTAAGCAGATATAGCTTGTTCCTTTTAAGTGCTCAAATAGAACGTGGTCAATTCCCTGTGTTTAACAGTCAAATATTTTCTATTTATAGAATAAACACCCTCCTACCTCCAAAGGGTAATTTCATGTGTAACACCTGGATCTTTTCTATTTATAGAACTAAGATCCTCATACCTATATTAGTGAAATTCCCACCCAGATTTCAATATATACAACAAAACTACCAATTTTCACTAGTAATATTTTGTTAAATTTTCAATGACTTGGTTGAAACAAGTGTAAACATGAGCTTGCTAATACAAAACATTTAGTTTGGTGCTAGATACGTAATTCATAGATTTGAGTGATATGGGTGTAAATATCCCATCTTTTTAAATATTTGACCTGTAATGTTTTTTTTTTCCTTAAAGTTGCTCGATTGCTTGGATGATCCTCTATCATGAGGGGTGGCTTTTGAATCCATCATGTACTTGTACTTTTTCAGCGTTTATTGCTAACATTCTCCCATGGTTATTTTGCAACTTGAAGGTGAAGATCTCTCAACTTGTTTCTTAAACTTTGCATAATATGTAAGAAATGAAATGGTATGATTTTGAATGTAATGGTTGCCCTTTTACCTATTTCTTGGCATGATACATTATGTTTAGATAAATTTGATCAAGGGCTTTTTTCATGATTCATATATCTTTTAGATTTCTATGAACCGGGCCTTGACCTAGTGGTTCATACATCCACTTCTATCATTGAGGTCATGGTTTCAAGCCTCTACTCCACTTAGCTGCTACTACATTGGGAAAAAAAAATCTAAGATTGTTATCTATTGTCTCTTGCGCCAAAGGGTAATTTGCTTCTGTCTCTGTCAATGTAGTGGGCCTTGTACACCCCATTAATATATAATATATGAGGATAGATTACTATCCTTAAAACAAAATAAAGAAAAAAACTGAAGTGGTAAGTAAGCTGTCAAAATGAGCAGGTTTCTATATTCTTACCATTTTATTTATTTATTTTGGCATTTGGCTTCTATACACAGATATGCAATCTTTTTTCTAAGCAAGAACTCTTGTTTCTTAGGCAATCAGTTATTTTCTATTATTGAATAATCTTTTCTATTATTTTTTTAGCTTGTTATGGGATATTAATGTCCCTATCCCTAGCCCTTTTGTACTTTATTTAGACACCAACTTTACAATCTTACGCATGTAATTTGTGCAAACTAGACGGGGCATGCGTTCAGAGCATTGAACACCCTGGGTGTGTTTGGGATGCCAAGTTCCTGGAAAATGGAGATGTTGTGACTGCTTGTTCTGATGGAGTTGTAAGAATTTGGACATTACATGGTGATCGTATTGCTAATCCCTTGGAGCTCGAAGCATATGCACTGGAACTATCTCACTACAAAAGCAGCAGGTACAGTTTATTGTGTAATAGCTGTTTGATGCTTCAAAAAAAGCAAAAGCAGGAACAAAACACTGGAGAACAGTTACAACTTTTTATCTCTAACAACACAATTTTGACATCATCGTGAAACTTGCTTCAAATATTTTTGTCAATCATTTGGTAGTTCTTCTAGCTTTTTCTTTCATATTCATTTATTAATTCTAGAATACACATCTTGCAATTGGAAACGGCATATTATTTGTATAATTACATACCAGAGAATTATATTGTGTATTAAGTATTCGTGTTTATTCTTGGGACTTATAAGCTTTCTCCCTGCCTCCCTCCCATCACCTTACCTCTTCTCTCTCTAATCCCAGGAAGAAAGTTGGTGGCTTGAAGTTGTCAGATCTTCCAGGTTTGGAGGCTTTGAAGATTCCAGGTTTTTGCTTTTAACTTTTTCTTCTACCTTCATATGCTGCTCTAGTGTGAGCTGTAGTTTCTTTCGCAGTTGTAAATGAAATTCTTTACCCTCTTTAGGTGCCATAAACCCTTGTGTAGGAGGACATTTGATGTGATACATGCAAGGAGTTCACGAGAGATTATGCTGTAGAAGGGGAGTAGGTGGGAGAGATTTAAAATTTTTCGAATTTCAAACAAGAAGAATAAAGGAGGGAAGATGTAATTAATATTCCCTAATCTTAGGCCATAAATTAGGGACTAAATAATTAGAGAAGGGAGAGAAGGTGAGCCGGCCAATGGGAAGAGAAAAGGTGTCCACATACAATGTATGTGTACCCATGCATTAATGGGAGATTAGAGAGTTAAATTTGAAATAATTTCAGATTTAAAATGATTGAAGGATGCTTCCTAAAATATATGTACTAATTAGGAAAGCATTTGAAATTTGGATATGAGATTAATTAATCAATCAATTTTCAAATTGATTAATTAATTAAATAAAGAAACTTCCCAAAAGTAATGTAATTAATGAGGGTGGATTTGAAATTCAAATTAGATTAATTCGAATTTAAAATCTTTCTGAATTAATGGCATCCTAAATAAGGAAAGAAGAGTTTTGGAGGAAAGTGATATCAAACAAAGAGATTGCTGGCAGGTTAGCATTATGTAAGCAATCTAAAATCAACCATAAGAATCACAATTTTTCAAATAAAAGGAAAATTTGCATACTCCTTTAAAGGAGCCAAGTTTTCAAAAATTAAAATGATCTTGCATGGCCAGTGTGTCTCATATAGAAAACCTTTGCTTAAAGACCATATAACAAAAATCCGTATTTCTTGTGAGTTAGCATTATGCATACCCACATGATCAAACATCTTAGCCTAAAGGCCAAGTTGTAAGTCATATTCTCTAAATAAAAAAAAAGTTTTCCCTACTATTCATATGCATTGCGACTGGACTACATGATTTTAAAAGTGATTATGTGAGTTTAGCTATTAGCCCCTTCTAGGCAGAGCAATAAATTCAGAGGTTGGGCAGATTATGTCTCATGTGAGGTTAGTTTGTAAGTCCCTTGTACTATGTTAGAATTATGTTCAAGCCACTACCCCTCAGTAGTCCTCATCGTAATTCTAGGATCCAAGGTTGTTGTTGACTTCTGTTGCTTCATAAGCCTTCACAATCCAGGAATTTCCTTTAACATGTATTATTGGAATATAAACCCCAACATTCTAAGGTAAATTGGTCAACTTAAACATAAATTTGGTGTTTGAAGCGGCAAATCATCCATCATGCCAACCGTTTTTAGGACAATACATTTTGTTGTATTTTAGAATTTTTTTTGTTCATTTTTGCAAGATTCATTATTTTGCATGAGAATATAACCTTTCTTTTCGTCTTAATATTAAGAACTACTTATGGTTACTGCAGGCATGACTAATGGGCAGACTAAAGTTATTAGAGATGGGGATAATGGTGTTGCTTACTCGTGGAATGCAGAGGAGTATAAATGGGATAAGGTTTGTCCATTTTAGAATATTTTAGATATTTTTTATTTATTTCAGGCCTGTTTTGGATTAATTTCTGGTTTTCATTTTTTGTTTTAGAAATTTGGATAAAGCATGTTTAGTACGTTTTTTATTAGTATTTTTGTTTTTTATTTTTAAAAACAAATCATGATGTTAAAAAAAAAAAAAAACCACTCAAAACAACTTTTAGATTTCAAAATTTTTCCTTCCATACCCAAGCTCCTTGAGTTTTTTGAGCATCTTCTGTGCACAAGCTTTGACATCTGGTCTTCTTTATTGGATGTCCCCGAGCTTCATCCTTGAGCATGACAACCATTCCCGAGCTCTGTCTGGCATCGCCATAGCTCCTTCGTTGAGCGTCTTACAGTGTTCTATAGATTTGCCCTCACATTGTCATGGAGATGTCTCCTGAAAATTTTGTATTACACCTTCAAAAAAAAAAAAAAAAAAAAATCCAAAAGTGATTTCGACTGCCCTAATATTTTTATATATGAGTTATTTTATCATGATTCTCAATATGGATACACTTTTATATTGATTCATTATATCTACCTATGATATCTCTATCCATCAGTGCCTGAATGCCTCTGTGGCTTCTGGTGATTGGCTGACTCCCACTTAAGACCCTTGGCCCATTTAGATTTCTCAGCTTGTTGGCTTTTGGGAGTAATGAACTCTGAATATTTTATTTTATAGATTAAAAATCCTTCAATAATGAAGCCCCCTCGTTGAATTATAAACCAATAAACCATAGTGCTTCTAGCATACATGCGACATTTTATTGGTGACAGCCTTGTTTAAGAGTTGAATTCAGGAGATTTAGTTCTCAAGGATCCATGAAGGTTAACAAAGATGGTTTGTAAAGTTTGGCTTAAAGAGTGATCGGTGATGGTGAAATTGGTTTATGAACTGATAAACTAGGTCTTACCTTTCCTAAAAAGCGTCTGATAGAAGTAGTGATGTTTGACGCACTTGCCATTTTATTTTCCTCAAGATGTCATTGGGTTGTTTTTTGTCATAATGTGACACCCTGTTTAGCAAATGTGTTGGTATTATTTGATATACTACACATTACATGTTTCGGGAACATTTTTTGACTTTTGACACATGTTTTGGTTTTCTTTTGTCTTGAGTGATAGTCATTTTGCCTTTCGGTCGACATTCATAACATTCTTGTATCAGCATATTTAAATGCTTGGCACAATACCCAAAATTTGTGCCTCTAGGATAATGAACTAACTGAAATATCGAGATTATTTTCATTGATTATATTTGATATATGAATTTGTTCAAACCTCTTACAAAATTTGTTTTGTTTCGCATTCCTTGTCTCGAATTTATATTTTTTGTTGTGCTTCTGTAGTATTATGATGATGGACTGTTATGGTTGTTTGTTGACAAGTTTATATTCCTAGAATTGTTGAGTTTTTTTATAGCTTTTTAATATAGCCGGTTGTTATTTTGTTTTTACTGTATCTATTCTAATTGCCCAAAGTGAACGTGCTTCAGAATCCATCTAGTATTGTCTGGTAATGTTTTGAATTTTTGTTTTGTTTTAAAGCCTGCCATGTACCGATTTTGATTTTGATTTGTGTGGGAAATGCACAGTAGAAAGCATAACAAATGTCCGGGACCCCTCCTTGGCTTCATAGCTCTTGGGGAACACACTGCAGTACTTGCGGAGCAGCTTGTCCTTTTCTTGAAAGTAGCAGCAACTCTGTTGCATAGGCAAAGCACAAGAGCATTACAAAATGAGGCTCTAGCGAAGGAGAATTTAGAAAACTTGAGCCGTATTGATTTCCATTTATATTCTTACCCCTCCCTGCTTGTAATCAAAATGTTATTGTCTAGCTGGATTCATCAAGCAAAGCGGACAACATATATGATTGTAGGATCATTTAGTACTAGTCATTCCATTTTATCCCAACATATGAGCCAACATAGGACCTTCTTTGGTCCTTCAAAGGCATGTTCCAGAAGGGGAGGGAGGGAGGGATACCTTCACACCATAACTTGTGTAGAGAGGAAGGAAAGAGATACTGATGAAGTGAGGGAATACATATGTTTCACAGGGAGGGAGGGTTGGAGGGAGGGAGTTGATTGATATCTTTGCAACATAGCTTGCGTAGAGAGAGGAAGGAGAAATAGATATTGACAGGGAGGGGGATGCATTTGTTTCACATAGTTGTGAAGTGATTGATATCTTCACACCATAACTTGCATAGAGAGTGAAAGGAGAAAGCGATGCTGATGGGATAGGGGAGTTGCATATGTTTCACAGGAATGGAGGGAGGTGATTGATTAATTTTATAGTTGTATTTTCTCCTATTTCATTTTAATTCCTATTGAAGTCCCCTTAAGTGTTTATGAAGAATCTTGAATTTCTCTATTCAATTTTTTTTAATAATTTACTTTAGATATACTTTTAATCAATTCAAAATTAGATTGGTGAAGTTGTTGATGGACCAGGAGATGAAAACAATAGACCGATACTTGGTGGCATTCAATATGATTATGGTATGTTTTATTTGTTTTAGAAAGTTGAAGCTATACTTTTTTACTTATGACACTTTTTTTTTTCATTCTTAGTTTTTGACGTTGATATTGGTGATGGCGAACCTGTTCGTAAATTGCCATACAATCGAGGAGGTAATTTCTTTATTACATATTTTGTAATTTTCTAAAAAATTTCATGTTTTGTAATTTCGCGTGTCTCTGCATTACTACCATCCCTTTTCATTTGATTAACATTTCATTTTGCATTTTTTACCTTGCACATGCCTTCATGCATATTACTCGTAATCTTCTCTTTAAAAGTGATACACCTAAATGTAGCCCATACAACTCCATTTTAAAACATATAGTTAACAAGCATTTTGATAGCTCAACAAAATTCAACCCCTCTTGTTTGTTATAACTCAGGAGTATTTTGTTGAGGTCAATTTTGTTTGTTATAACCAAATTTAGACCAGGGTCTATTTAGATTCAAAGTCAAGACTTCTTATTGGCATAAGCCACCTAATTAGTTATCCCTCCCGTCCGTGGGAGAGCATTTTTTTAATAAAGCATAATATTGTAACCATACAAGACTGAATTAATATGAGCCATTATTAAAAAATGTCATATTAACATGTAAAAATGAAGATAATTTAAGACAACATGATGGCAAAGTAGAAAATATCCATCCGAGAGGTGAAAAGATCCATGAAAAGCTCTCATTTCTGATGCCTAGTTTGTAGCCTAGTTAATACTGAAGAATGATCATAATCGTTATTTTTAGTCCCCCAACTTCCCCGCCCCCCCCACCCCAAGCGTCAACACTTAATAAATTATCATCTGAATCAAAATGCTGCTCAGAATCTGTGGCATCAACATCCTCAACATTAGGAAGGGAATGATGGCCTAACTCATTGGGAGGATTTGTAACAATGTTCTTGGATATGAATGAGATTATGATATCGAATGCTGGGTTTAGTAGATATGAAGTGGCTTTTGATCTAATATCATTTAGAGTTTGTTTCAAAGTTAATGCGCATACTTGGAGGTGTAGCTGTATCCACCACTAGAGAAGATGGGTTTTCATTATTTGTATGCTACTCTTGTTCATAACTATTAGGGTCACTAATAGTCGCTTTCATCAGTTCTAGGTGAGCATTGAAGCATTCAAAATAGTTATTCTAACAAATTTTGCAAGATGTGCAGTACGAGGAAATATTTGAATACAGGCTTCTGTTAATAACCACAAGAGGAGCCAATTCAGACTGTTATCCAGAGGTATGATAAATTCCATTTCAATCATAACCCTAATCATAGATGATTAAAAAAGATGGGAAGTAGCAGCATCTATTTGCAAGGGTTTGTCAAAGATAGAACCTATAGGATACAATGCAAACTAATTGCAAAGGTTTGTATATAGAATATTCTTTTGACCAAATACAAGTTTCACATGAATGCACGTATAATCTCAAGATCGATGTCTCAAGATCATTTCTCTTCTCTTGGTTTTCGTGTTCACACGATCCTTATCGCATGTTTCTTTCCCACTCGTTACTCTTCCCAACTTTTCTCCCTCTCTTACTCAGCATACCTCGAAACCTAACTCAACTCTCTAGATCTTCAGCCCATCTCCTTCCTCCCTTGTTGTCAGGCCCTAGCACATCGTGTTATTTCCCACATCTCTCTATCAACCTCTCCAATCAAGCTCATCTCCATGCCTACCTAAACACTAGAAGTCTTAGATGATAAAGGGGAGGAGAAATTGCAAGCTCTCTCATGTTGGGCACCCCATCCCTCTCCCTTCTCTCAAAACCTCCTGTTGTTGGGCTCTCTTCACACATCCCACACTGTCGGCATCCTTGCTCTTATCTCGCCAGCCTCTCTTCTTCATGCAAACTTTATCCTAAAACATCCACTCATGTCCCTCTTGCTCAAGCCACTATCTTGCTCACTCTCCTACACGAACCTCTCTTTCTTTCTCACTCTTTTCTTTGTCTTCATCATCATTCGCCCATCTGCTTCATGTTTAAGGTAGTAAATTTCTTAATTCTAAAACTAGACTACTACTATATACCAAGTACTTAGCGTATACCCAATGTTTAGCATAATTGAAAGTTCTCTCTTGGCATTGTGACGGGTAACTAATCACAGGGGATTATTTCTATGTGAAACTTGGAACCATATCTTAAAGTCCTCGCATGAGAGCAAAATCTTTGCACAACATCTTATTTATAACCTAATCTACCTTTTAAGGCTATCCCCAAAAGCTGCTATAGCGGGGTGAGGTGCAATTTATTATGTCGAGGTTCAATACAAGGGCATTAGTATATTAAGTTCATTTTATGTTGGAACAATATGTTTGCAAAAAAATGACATCCCTACATAGTTTTTGTTGATTTTCCACAAATTAAGTAGGCTACAAGTCATGTTTTGATAGATTTCTTATTAGGGTATGACGCAATGTATATTATAAAAATGGCTATGAGGCTCTTCTGGGTGATTTGGAAGTCGATTTCCACCCTTCTAGCTCTTTCAACCAACACCGAATAATCTTCGATTCCTAAAGGTTGCCTAAATGAATCCATTAGAATAGATAGGAATCTATAACATTTTTCCTCTGCTGTTGAAATCAACTGTGATGCATATCTAGATAGTGTTGCAAATCCTGCTTCGTATTGCATCATTGATTTGTCTCCTTGAATTAATTTTATAAATTTATCCTATATTTGTCTCCTTGCTGACATAGGTACGAACCATTGTCTGTAAAGTTCCACAAAATCTTCCTAGTTAACCAATGTATTTGGAATATCTCCTAACTTGTCCTCACGTTGCCCTCTCCAGCCCCTTTTTGCTTCTCCATCAAAGGCAAAAGTAGCAAGTGACACTTTCCTTTTATCAGGACATGACATGCTATACAATATTTTCTCTATACGAAACAACCAATTTTCAGCCTCAATTGGCCCCTCATTACTTTTGAATAGAGGCGGTCACATGTCTTGAAATAACTTCAAATATTTATCAACTCCAACACCAGGTTGCGATCTTGATTCCTGAAGCAGCTGGGTCATAGCCGCCATTATCTGGGTGAAGGTGTTGGTGTTACAGTCACTTCAGGCGGTACTTCTTCTCTTCCCATATTTTTGTCGGTTATGTCCTCTTCATCATCCGTATATCTGATATATTTATAAATTTATTAATCATATCATTTAATCGAATATTTAAGTTCTTCTCAAATAAGTTCATAAATTATTTCTATGGCTCTTTCATTACGATTCACATTCTTAAGATACTTCTTGGGTTCTGATACCATTTTTGTCACGACCCAGCCCGGAGGCTCAAATTAACGGGGTTGGATCAGATGGTCGGATGATAGATTAGATTTTCAATTACTAAATCTATCTCCATTACACTTAAAGAGCCATAAACTTCAAAAATATGAATTGATATGATATTTTATGACTTAAAACCTTTCTTTTGGCGCGTCATGTTTACGGTACACATTTCACCTCTTCTATTCATTTTGATTATATTAAATTATATTTGAAAATGTTAGAACAACTAAGAGCAAGTAAAATATGCTTCTAAATTACAGTAACCCAAGGTAATTGAAACAATATGCATGAGCATTTTAATTCCTATCATAAAATAATTACATTTAAATTCATTTTATTTCAAGACTTTTAATATTATGCATACTTTCAATATTATGAATATATAATATATTTATCTATATATTTCTTCTTTCTCATAAATAATACAACTATCACAGGAGTCACCGTCTAATTTAATATCAATAAAGGTACTCATTTTTTTTTTCTTTTTTCTTTTTCATAACCTTTTTCATTTACGTGCACAGGTATATTGCGTCCCCAGTCAGTACCATTAGGGGATGCGTTCCATCAGTCAGCATGCATATATAAGCATACTGCATAAATTATATCTTTTACTTTTTTCATATCATTTCATTTCAAGTCTTTTAGTTTAACATGGTCAATTTACTTTAATAAAGAAAAATTATGTAACATTAACAGCGAGCAATTAGATAATAATAATACTTGATGCATTATGTATAGGAGAAACAAATATCATTATTGTAATTTAAAAGACGTAAGTACTCATCTTGATTCTAGGTATCTTATTTCTTCACTATTACTCTTTCCTTTGAGGTCAATAGATTATTACCTATATAAAATAATTTCTTATTTACATTCTAATTTAATATTTTAAAATTTCTTCTCTTTCTAAATATACTTTAATTCATTAAAATAATTATAGAGTATTTCACTTATTAATATTTCATTTACTATTGAATTTTAAAATAGATGTTGTGCTTTCTCTTACTCTCCAATTTAGTTAGTTAAAGCACCTAATTGCTCTTGTATTAATCAATTTCTAAAAGTGTTGATTTTATCATTAATTTTAAATTACTAATAAAATTTACTCTTCCCTTACTAGATGAAAAAAATTTATTTAATTATTAAAATTATCCAAAATAAATTTCTATATTAGTTTATTTATGATATCTCTCTTAACTCAATATTCTCATTTATTTCTATTTTAATTTATAAAATCTTATATAAATTTATAGAATTTACTCTTTATATAATTTTATCATTGATCAATTTAATGAAAATTCATAATCTAATTATTATTTTTCTCAAACTGATATTTTAATTTTATAAAATTAATAAAAAATAATTCTAATATAAATTTTTTTATTTTAATATTTCTTAAAAATTTCTTATAATTATCTTTTATTAAAATTCTAATAAGATATATTAAAATTATATTTAAAATATTAATTTTCTAAATTAACTCTTTTAATTTATGATTTAAATTTAACAAATAAAAAAAAATGAAATTCGCTTACCTTCCACGCTTGCTTGCGTTAGCCCTTCGCCTGCAAACACACACACATACACACTCTCTCTCTCTCTCTCTCTCTCTCTCTCTCTCTCTCCCTCCCTCCCTCTCTCTCTCTTTCTCGGTCGTTCGGCTGATTCGACGCACAATCTCTCTCTCTCTCATCCCTCTCTTCTCTAATTTATAGAGACGAAGTTAGTGACGCCCCTTTCCATTCGTCCTCTGCGACTCCAACCGACAGGAGCGCTCTTCGTGTTTCTCGTGAAAACGAACGATGACGACTTCTTTCT